CTGTTAAAGAAACGTTTTTTCTTCCAGCTGTCATCAAAGAGACCTCATCTTTGTATTTGTTGAGCTTCTCTTTACAATATAAGGTTGTCTCCTTACTAAAGTAAGGTGCATTGGGGTGACTTATGTTGGTGCTATATAAACAAAACAGAATTGAATTGAACAAAACTATAAACAAAACAGTATAACACTTTCTTTGGTCTCCTTTTAAAAGATCAAGAGCACACAGTATATTTATCTTGCATACTTCAGATAAATAAAGTCACTCATTGTGCATGAGTACACTGCTAGTAAAAATGTATGTATTTTTACTCTGGTAGAAATTTGATTGCTCTGTAGTAGTGCGACTTTAACTTTCATTTACTCACCTTACATCCACTGTGTTGGGAGACAGTTTGAACCTCTCAAAAGCAGCTTTGATCCTCTTGTGGACTTCTGACATTGTGTTCTCTGACAGACAACAGAGCTAACAGTTAGCTTAGCTGTTAGTGGGGATGTAACGGAAATGACTTCCAACAACGAAACAGAACTTTGAAGGCAAATTTAGGCACACTTAAAGTGCCGCCTTTAGTGTTGTCTAAACATGAGAATTGTTCAACTAGCAGACACACGTGTGTAACTTGCTAACTAGTACAAACCTGCGCTCTGGTTGTTGCTCTCGACCATGTTGTTGTTCTGTTGCCTAGCAACCGCCGGTCTGCTCCAACCAGCACAACCGTCTTTGTGCCTTTTAAATTTAATTAATTTATTTTAATTCTAACAAATCGAAAGATAACATAGACTAAAATGGGACAAAGAAGAGGACAAAGGAATGTTTGCTTTATTATTTTTTTTTCAGCTGTATAAATGCAAATGATTAAAAAAACAAAGTCAACAAAATATCTCAACAAATAGTAAACCCTTTCATACTGTAAATACATTTCAAGTTTGCAGATAGACTGGATTTTACATCATATTACTTTTAACAGGGGAATTCTAAACCGTAAAGATGAAAAAAATCTGCAGTCACAAGCCTGGTGGAAGAAGGCTGTAACTCATTAAGCACTCGGAGATGCAAATTCTCGGAGATGATTTGTTTCTGTGGCACATTGTAGTGCTTCAGCAGACTGGCTGAGCTGGTCTGACGGAAATCAGACCAGTTTAAATACATAACAGTCCTCGTGTGCTCCCTGTGCATAAGAGCTAAATGGAAAATGTGCGTTAAAAGTGGGACAAAGATGATCCATCAATGTGTACGTGAAAATGTCTGCTGATATTCCAATAAGCGTACCGGTAATGTCCAGAAAAATGACGCCACGGTATAAAAACCGAACCAGTCGAGGTATAAGCGATGACTCAACATAATAAAACCCAAGTACATTAGCAGCATGTCCAACTTCTCAGGTATGACAGGAACTAGATTAATACAATTAAAGCGATAAAGTATATTTAGAAAGTATTCAAAAGTCTGTAAATGATGGCTTCTGATTTAGTGTAGTGGATAATATTGCATTCTGAATTCCCAACTTTTCCCCTTTAACAGTTCTTAGTAATCATCAGAATATTTCGATATAGTGACAGTAATGCTTTCAACACAAACTTCTCTTAAACCGGCTACATGCTTGACAGTCCACTAAAATGAACTCTTAAAATTCAGATCCAGACAAAACACATTTGTGAGGATAAAGATTAAGAACACCAGACTGATTCAGTGGTTGTTTCTCTAATAAGTGTACGTGCATTTATATCTCCGGTTGGCCCTGATGTACAGGGACTTGGTGCTGCTGCTCCTGTTCTTGTCCCTCGTGTGCATCTATTTGCTGTATGGCTTCTTCTTCTTCTGTCTTTACTTCCTGCTGAGGTTCTTGTTCCGCTAGCGGTTGAATCTCGTTATGAGTCTCCTCCACTCGTTGCTCCGCAGCGGCTGCATTCTCCCCGTCGGTGTTTGGTAGCTTCTCCTCCACCTCCTGCTCTGGGTGAGGTGCGCTGTTGTTGCCTGAGTCCTTTGTGGAAGAAAGTGTGATGTGATGTTAGTGCAGTCAGCGACAATGAAACTGAGGATTAAACTAGATGTTGTTCAGTAAACTAAAACGTAGTAATGCGCGGTACCTGTGTGTGAGCCACTGGAGGAGAAAGCAGCTCAGAAGGGCCCAGCAGTCCGTCTTGGTTTAGATCCTGAGTTTGGAGTAAGAAATCTACCATAGACACCACCTGAACTCAGAGATCACATGCACACAAACATAAATACACTCCAGGCCACATAAACAGGACAAAGAGTACGCAAGTACACACAAATACCCCGTCAGTCCAAACACACATCCAACAGCCACTCCTGCTCACCTGCTCATTGGCCTGTGCGCCAGGTGCACGGTGGGAGTTGTAGTCTGACAGGAGCTTCATCATCTCCAAGCCATCCAACAACCCACTGCGATCATAGTCATAAAGGCCAAACAGGAAGAACACCTCTGAAACAAAGCAGAAGTGTGACATGTGACTCTGTACACAGACAACTAATTTTAACAGAATGTTAAATCACAGAAAATGACTATATCCTTAACCACTTGCATCATCTGTCTGCATAATTAGTTTGTACATTTGGTAACAGGGATCCACAAAAAAACCTTTTGTCAGAACTCAAGTTGTTTCACCAGCATGTGGTGTCATCTACCTTGTTCCCAGGTGTTGATCTCTGGTCCTCCCTGGCCGTTCTTTAAATTGGCCTGAATGAAACTCTGCAGAAGCCTGCGGTACACACAGTGTACGTTTCAGAAAAATACGAGCCAAGAAATAACACTGAACATGTAGGTATTATTCATACTGGATGCAGAATCTATGCAAAACAAAAGACACAAGATTAGGATTCTAAATGTCTTGGGTGGATTTAGTAAAGTCTCCCTTTGCTGTCACCCATTTATCATGGGCCTCTTCAGCCAACACTTCATCATGTAATGGCCTCTTCCCACCCTCTGGCCGTCTAGCAGCAGGTACCCCGTCCAGGCATCTAGGATCCTCCCTCTCCAAAAACATGGTCAATGACCTTTGACACTATTTTAGCACAAGTGCACACATTGGTCTCCACAGAAACTGTTACAGCTCTTAACTATTTAACTAATCTATCAAATGCACACATTTACCACATCCACTCTACCTCAAGAGTCACTGTTAGAAAGATCACCTTCAAGCATGTTCAAAGATTAACAAAAATGGTCAACTACTTGGTTAGAAAGTCTTAAAATGAAATCTAACCTCTCTACAGAAGCTGTGACTAGAACTACTGGGTACACAATGTCTCCTTCATCATTAAAAGTCCATCTCAGTGTACACTATGTGCAGCGCTGGCTTCAGGTTGGGTTTTAGCTGAAGGCCGAAGAGCTTTCCACTTTGCCCGAAGAATATGCAAACAGTCTGCAAAGTAAAGGTCAAACATCCAAGACAAAGAAACAGTTTTGCATTAGTTTCTTTCAAGTGGGGCTGTGTGAGGGACTTATCCATAATCAGTGTGTTTACTTTAGTAGAAGACAGTCGGCACCGGAGGCACAGCACAGAAGCTGAACAATAACTATGATAAACTTCTGTGTGCAAGGTAACAGCAAAACAGACTTTATTCATCTAAAAACGGTCGACCTAAAACGTGTTACATGGAGCAGAAGGAGGTGATGACGGAGGTACTGTGGGAGCCAATCTGCAGCTCTGTCTTTACAGCAGGAGCACTGTTGTTGCAGGTCACTCCGTTATGCTCAGGAGGATACACTTTTTTTCCCCTAAAGTTGATATCAGGAGTCTCACATGCTTTGCATAGAACTTAAAATTCTGATCAAACAACTGAGGCTACTCTAAGTTTGGATTATGATACCAAGAGAGTCGTGAGAAAAAGCTCACGAGTCTTTTCTTTGTCTCAACAGAGGTAACACATCTTCATTTGTAAACCAATCAAGTTTTATTTGGATCTCACTGATATCTCAAGAAGCCGATTCTTTCAGACAAATAAACAAGAGCGATAAAAGAGCCTTTGAACAGCTTCAATTGGGATCAGGCTGAGATGAGAGCGAGGCTATTTCTCAGTGGCTCAATTTATGAAGTGTGAAAAAAAATCTAAATCTTCTTTTGATGTAAAATTGAGCTCAGTTATGTCTGGAAGAAATATGCTGGACATTGTTTTAGATTTTCTATTTCTCTGTCTTTTCTTGCATCAGTGACAACATGGTGAAAAATGCCCTGGCTGTTACTTCAGGCTGCGTATGGGTTTTTGAATCGATTGGTTGTGTAGGGTGGTGCAGATCCCAGCTGCTACAAACATCTATCGGGCCTTTCACATCTATTTAATCTTATCAGCCGGTGGGAAGAAGCTGCAGCCACATTGTCACAAACAACAAACTCTGTGGCACAAAGTCTGCAAAGTGGTTTTTATCTCTCTTTCTGTACCCTGGTTTAACTGAACCTGCTGTTTATTATAGCTGAGATCACTATTACAGCACAAATGGGATACTAATGTGTGCAGATGGCCAAAAATCTCTCATAAATGCAACGTAAGGCAGTGACATGCACATAAAATCTTATCAGTATATGGTACAGGCCACATCATTAGCACAACAGAGCAGCCAAAGTCCACAGAGCAGCCAGACAGTAGCTGCAGAGTCCATCAAAACAGACTGCAGGCTGAACAAGTTGGACGCTGGCTGCAGGTTGTGTTCCTGATTTCAGTACTGACAATTAAGCTAAAGAGTTGTTTAACAAAACAATGCATGATGGTAAAAATCTTTTTTTCTGTGTAGGAACTGCATTATCCTCTGGAAAAAGAGCTAGAATTTCAAGCTGCAGTTTGATTTCAACATGTAGACATACAGTAGGAAAAAGGGCAGAACGGGATTTCTATCCACTAACTGTGTCGATTCTCCCGTTTCAAAGGTGGCACATAAAATTGGATTTATGGCTTAAAAAGAGTTTGATGCTGCACATTGTCCAGGTGCCACTCACCTGCGTTCCTCCTCTCCAGAGGCAAAGGGATTGGGTAGTGCTGCCGAAGGGGGATGGGCATCTACGGAGTCCTCTCTGTAACACATACACATAACTCCAATAAAAAATCATCTGAAGAGCCTCTGTCCTTTATTTCTTTCACTTTCACCTTACGCTCACTACTTTGTTCTCCCAAACAGCGACAATACTAAGGAAAGGAAGTTTGTGTCTCTTGCTATAGCCATGCTTCATCTGCACCTTCCTACAGCAGACGTTCTAATAAAGTTTTGCTTGAAATATCCAGTTCTATAAATCCTGGTTATTCTGATACCGTAGCCCTCAGTGATGTGTTTAATGTGGAAGTAGTATTTTTTATAACAACAACAAAAAAATCAATTACGACTAAACAAACTTGTAGCATCACCTGAAACACTTCAAATGTTAAACTTGGGGATGTGAGGTTACCTTTGTGTCCCAGGGAGCCCCGGTGCAGCCAGACACAGGTGTATGAGCAGGGACAGAGACAGGACACAGGACAGCAGCCGGTCCAGGTGGGACTCCATGAACACACCTGAAAGTACGCAGACATGTTGTAAACCTCACATCACATCTGTGCAGGCGCCTGTCATCCTGCCCATCACAACACTTTGAACATATAAAGAGGCCTTGGAGTGCACAGGAGGCCTTGTGTTGGCTCCTGAAGGCCCACACCAGAACTTCCTAGTCACAGTGCCTTGTTAGTGAAACAGTTGGACAGAACCATATTTTTTTCATTCTGCTGGGATGACTATGAAAGACAGACTTCCCTGTAAGATGTAGTGTCTTGACTATGACATGTTAATAACTCTGCTGGACACTTGCTCTGTTTAAACCACTTTTTTTTTTGCTCCACAACAGTCACACAATCTCGTGGGTTTGGTCCTGCACCACCACAGTCAGCAGCACTACAGCAGTGCTGCAGTCCTGCAGCTTCACTCCTCACACAGATGATGGATCTTATGGCTCATAATGGCAAAATCAATTAAAAACCTCTACATGTATTTATAGCTCAGCTCAGTCCATCCACACAGTCCCCAGCGCTCACGTGTCTCCGGTCCATCTAGAGAGACAGATGCTGGAGTCGTGCAATAAACTGCCTGCCTCAGATGTGTGCAGCGCTGCTTTGATCCGCACTGAACTGCGCAGATCAGTCCGCCGCTTCCTCATATGGAGCACCAGAGCCAGCACTGACAGCAGCCTTCACTAGGAACACCGGCGGTTCCATTTGACGTTACAGTCGTGAATTAAATCAAATATAAAGCGAAGAATATGTGGTCGTGAAGCAGTAGTCTGGTTGGACACGCTCTTAAAAACACGCATTTTATGTCTGCGGACCGAGCAAACAGTCGGTAACCGTGTCCTCACGGTGCCGGTGGACCTACCTGTCTGCGGTCGGAAGGTGAGCGGCGTCATGTCTTCAGGTTACAGGTTCACATCTGGAGAGCACCTCTGGCCCGCACCGCCCTGCTCGCGCCTCCCGGTCTGCACTGCGCAACGGCGGCGGCACGCGCGCCCCCCGTCCTCCTCCTCCTCCTCCTCCTCCCCGCGGCTGCCACGGAGACCGGCGCGTGTTTTGGTCAATGACAGGGTCCACGTGGAAGCAGAGCCGCCGCCGCCGCGTCAGTGCGTCTGCGCAGCCGGTAGGTCTTTGTGCTCCTCTATCCGGGGTTTCCGCCACGTCTTCACCGACCGTCAGAATCCGGTAGTGCGGGTGGAGGAAGCGGCGTCCGTAGCTCGGTGCTGTGCTGTGGTTCATGTCGCTGTGACACGAGTGGATTGTCCAGGATCTGTAACGGAGTCTCTGATTAGTTACTATGTTATTATTTGGCTGTTCATCTTCCAGGTGACAGTTTTAAGTCCAGATCGATCCTCAAGAGAGACGACCCCCCATCGAGCACTCACACACTGTACCTTTAAAACAAACAAACAAACAAACAAACAAATAAACAAACAACAACAAAAACAACAGCTTTTTACTGTGTGTGTTTGTTTGTTTTTTTAAGTGTTATTTTACAGTTTTTCCTGTTTTGTTAAATTATTGATAATATTTTAGGGAAAAAAATCATTTACATGTTAATTATTTAAAGAAAACAGGTCAACACTGTAAATAATGTTTACACCAAAACCTGTATTTTTATAAAAGGTGCTTCTTTCCTTTTCACAACATTTTACTCTGAAATTATTCTAATTTTACTGTATTTAAATTAACAAAAAAAAAAAAAAAACACGACAGTTTTACAGATATCTGTCATTATCTGAAAGAAAATTATGTATATTAAGAATTGAAAAATAGCAAATAATTTACTGTATACATTTTACTGGATTAT